AATCTAATATGAAAACCAAGAACTTGGCAAGCGCAGGTTTTGAACATATAATGTCAAAGAAAATCACTTTCAAATCACCTTATGGCTGCTTTCATAAATTATTACTTATTCTATGTGAAATGGCTAAGAAAACATTCTAGTTCAATTTTGCACATATTGATATGATTCTTGCAGATCTACAACAATAATGAATAAGGTGATTTGCACTGAATATGAGTGATTGTACTAACAATGAATGCTATGCCTTTTGAAACCAAGAATAATAACTCATATGGAACCATGGTATTTTTTTATTCTGCTTGTTTCTTTAGTTCTGTTTTCTGCTCACTTGGGTTTATTGATCACTTATTTTTCATTCTGTAATCAACATTTCCCCATCAATTTGCTGATTGACAGGTCTGTAATTTTGAGACATTATAGGCCTAGTATGTGGTATTGCCTATGTACAAAATGGTTTCCTTTATGAATTGTGACTAAGCAAAGGAAGTTTCTTCCTGCTATTCTGGAGTTTCTGTAAGTGTTTGAAAACTCTATAGCAGAGGTTGGTTCCTACCAGTTCGGACTGTTTTGGCTGAACCAGTAGTGGTTTGGTGGCCTAGGTCACTGGAACAGCAGCAACCCAGGCTTTCCATACTCCCAAACTGGTTCTCCTATGGGGCCACCATCTTGATTTTCGGTTCTGCACATGCACAGAACAATTGTAATTGCACAAATTTATTTTTTTCTCTTTTTTAAACATTTTGAGTGTGCAGAGACCTATTTTTGTACAAATGCACACACACACACATTTTTGTGTGCACCAAACTGGCAGTAATGCTAGGAGTAACCCACACCTGCTCTATAGTGGTTTTTACCATCTCATGTAATGTTCATTTCTTTCCTAGGACAGTGAGAACATTTCCAAATAAACACTGACTTCAGAACATCCACCTTCTTTGTTTGTTAAAAAGTCCTATGCGATTGGCAGTTTGCCTGCTTTGCAGTGTGACAGCTTTTTATTCATTATTATTTTTTATATAAAGGAACTATTTTAAAAGAAAAAAAACAGATAGGTGCAATGTACATTATGCCCATAGATAGCATATTTTCTGTAGCTGGGGTAATCTACTGTAATACCACTGTGTTTTAGGTCATTGTATTATCTAGCTTTAACCTACAACACTTGCAGTTTTAATTCATGAAACAAAGGCTTGGGGCTTTTTAATGGTGAATTGAACTGAGACAAGTAAAAAGGGAAAGTTCTGAAATGATTGATGAGACAATATCATGTAAACAAGAAGAAAAGAAAAGAAATCTTAGCTAAGTCAAGCTCAATTTGGTGATCCCAAACAAGTTGAACCAATTCCTATTATTTTCATACAGAATGACGAGTAGCTATTCTGGCTGACTGGGGAATATTGGTATTGATATGGGACATATCTTATTCGATGGAGACTAGATTGCAGCACAATGACTTATATTCCTAGCAATGGTCTTTGGTATATCAAAAGAAAAACTATTTATAAGATACAATGATTGCATTCATGAAACATACTCCAACACACACAAACACACACAGAAATTTACATGTGCAATATGAAGTAAGTGATATTCTCCATAAAGCCTACTTATTTAGCTTCTACTGTACTAACAGCAGCTTATTACTTAGGCATTTCAAATGTTATTAACTGTGATTATTATTGATATTTACAATGTATTATTTCATTGTCCTAATAGAAACTGTTCCATGAACATTTGGCTCACCCAATTACCATCCATATATATTCTGATGCTATGGAATGAAAAAAAAAACGTCATAATTAAAAGGACCATAGAATAGGAATCATTGTCAGGAAAGCCTGAGGCATGATGACCAAGAATAGCTGGTAGCAGAATTTATGAAGAGCTACATGTTTCTGGATTTTGTATCAATACAATAATACAATACAATACAATACAATACAATACAATACAATACAATACAATACAATACAATACAATACAATACAATACAATACAATACA